CCTACTGCAAGCTGGATTATGAAACAGTAGGCCTAATGATCCTGTTTAAAATGCTTTTGCAACTTACATAAGTAGTGCTGTAGGCAAGAAAAGGCTTAATATTCTCACCCCACAAAGAATTAGACCACAGTAAAGCACAGTAACTCAGTGTGACCTCAAACAACTAGCTTTGTCTCTGCTTTTGGCCTCTGCTTTTCCTACCTGTAATAGACCAGTGTATACCTTCTTCAGTTGCTTGTAACAAATTATACGTAAGGCACTTCTGATGAAAAGCAGTGCATTTTAAGAGTATCACAAAACATTCTACAGATTGTATTGTGAAGAACCAGCCTACTAACTTAATTGGATTTCTAATGCATTAATAAGTTATTTTGTTATTCTGTTAATTTAAATAGAATCAACTCATGACTGTCATCCTGAGGCATGTTAGGTGTTTTTTACAGTTCTTAAGGGCTTTTTGTTTGTCATGTTTTTTGGTTTTGCAGTCTGCCCTTTGTTGAGTTCTTACTACTTTCCAAAAGTGTGTAGAGCACCGCTTGGTCAGTGAGTAGCTAATGCAGGAATTCCAGCTTTCATGTCCTAAGATGTTATGTTTGAGCACTATCAACAAAGAACACACACTACTAACATAAGTTAAAATCTTCCTAAATAACACAATTCTCATTATGACTTTATTTTTAGTAATTTGAGGGACAAATACCCTCTGTAATCACAACCAGTTTTTCTTTCTGAACCAGATGTGTCCTTCAGTGTTTGTGTTGCTCTCACAGTTGCAATGTGCTGTATTTGTTATGCATGTTATTGGATTGATATATCCAATTTTTTCCGATTTGATTAGTTGAAATTTTTTTGCTATGTTATCAGTGGTTTCTACTCACCTCACTATATTCCTGATTGATTAATCACAATGCTATCACTAACTGTATTGTCTATGTGACTAATTTACTTGAAACAGAAACATGCATATGTGTTTGTAGTGGGGAAGCAGGGGCTGGTTGACTGGGTTTGGACTAATTTTTGTTTTAATGCTGCATTGTTTGCATGTAATGTTGACCTTAAGTCTCAATTAAAAAAATTTTTTTTGGTGGGATGGTAAGTTGCCTAAGCTTTTGGCTACATGTGTTTTCTGTACTTCATCCTCCTCTGATTCCCTGAGATTCTCTCAGTTTAAGAGGCTAAACTGTCTGGTTTTTGTCAGCAAAAATTGGCCTCATGGCCAGTTCTTCAGATCTTTCTTCTCTCTTCAAATATTTGCCATTGCATTGCACAGTTTTTAGAACACAGCTGGTTAACAGATGCTGAAATGTGAACATTTTGAAGAATTCTGCTTTGTAAAATAAGCCTAATATTAATTGATCTTTAAAATTAATACTTAGAATACCTCCATGATTTCATCATAGAATTAAATAAGGTTTGGAATGACCTTAGAGTTGTCAAAGGAGCTTTTTCTACTTGATCTTTAAAATTTAATGGGTTTGGATTCTAATTTTGTTTTATCAAAATGGGACTTGTAGTAATAATAGCGATTCTTTGTTAAAAGCAGTCTGTGATCTATAAATATAGATGTTACTAAACTGCTCTGATCTCTGAGTATTTGTTCCTATATTTCTTTTCCTACAAAGAATTTCAAATACTGACCTGCCCCGGTATTACTATGTTACTAGCTTGTAATTTTTAAATGAAGGAAATGTATTATTCAGAGTTAAAGAACTGAATCATGGGCAATTATTTCTGAAAAGCGTTTTGATTGAATATCTAAGTTAAATACTTACCCCTACTTAAAATGCAACTTGAAGTAATTGTGTTTTATTTTGAAATCAACTTCTGTATATCAGAACAGCTTGATAACAGTAAAAGCTGTATGAACAGATGAAAATTTTCCTTCCTATTTTAGGATCTAGAGTACCTCTCTGAAGGCCTTGAAGGACGTTCTTCAAACCCAGTTGCAGTGCTTTTTGATACACTGCTTCATCCCGATGCTGACTTTGGGTATGACTACCCACCAGTTTTGCACTGGAAGCTAGAACAACATAATTATATACCCCATATAGTGCTTGGTAAAGGACCACCCGGTGGGGCTTGGCATGTGAGTAAAAATTTGATTTCCACAGTAACTTTAAAATGTTGTGGTTTCAGGGTTTTCTTGCTATCTAAGGATGTTTTAGATGGTAATAGCAATTGCAATTTCAACTGCTTAATTACCAAAGCCCCAAATGTGTTAGAGAGATGAGAAAGGAAGGAAAAAGTCGTCCTTAATTGGGGGATTTGTGACCATAGTTGCTATTGTGGTTTTTTATTAGTTTTAATTTAATTAATTATAATGAGTATTTTTAATTCCTTTTTTCCTCCTGTCTTTGCATTGTTTCCAAGTGCTGTTGTACAAAACCTTATTCTTAATGTGTTTATATGCTGTTGGTTTCACACTTTCTCCGTCTTATTTTGTATTTTAAGTAACTTGCTTTTAGTTTGCCTTTCATTTGTTCTCCCATTTCCTTCTGTTTTATTAGATCATGTAGTTAGTCCTTGAAATAGTATCTAATTGTAACAGGAAAACAGTTCATCAGCACTTTATGTAATGTCCTGATATGTTAGATTCTGGAATTTTATTGCTCTAAATTTGTACAATGAGAAGAACTTCACTGTGTTTTAGATAGATGTATCCATTTGAAATGTAGCTGGTCATGCATATAGGGTTTTCTCTCCATAGTCCATGGAAGGATCTATGCGAACAATCAGTTTTGGAGACTGGATGGAGTTGCCTGGCCTGACCTTTAAGGAGTGGGCAGCTAGCAAACGCAGGTAAAGATACTGCATAATGTATTTGGGAAGTGTACTTGCTATAAGAACCCAGATAGCATTACTGTAAGAATTGGCAAACACTCACACTTCGTTGTTCACAGGAAGGCTTCTTGTTTTGTTTATTAAATTGCCGATGGCACTGGAAATTATTCTGCTGTGTGTACTCTGTTGGAAAACAAAATGGACAATGGTTGGCCCGAGTGATTGCTTTGAGTGCATTGAAGCAAACATACTGGCAGTCGTGTGTTCAGCAGTGTTTCACAAAGAAGTGCTGTTACTGTAAGTGCTTTTACTCAGAGTTGAGCAAAGATTGAGGGAGGGATTCGAAATCCATAGAAGTATCAGAAGTCCCTCTTTCAACATGGATGCACCCGAATCACAGAATCATAGAACTATTAAGGTTGGAAAAGACCCTTGGGATCACTGATTCCAACCATCATCCCTACTCTACATAGTTCTCCCCTAAACCATACCCACCAACACCACATCCAAATGACCCTTAAACACATACAGAGATGGTGACTCAACCACTTCTCTGGGCAGCCCATTCCAGTGTCTGACCATTCTTTCTCTGAAAATTTTTTTACTAATGTCCAGAAATTTTCATTGTCTCCCATGTGGCAGGTGGGGATACTCACCACTATATAAAGTTGCTGTCCGCACTAGCATTTTTGTGATTCACTATTTGCTTTTATAGGCAAAGCTCCAGCATCTGAAATGTTGCTATCTGAATTTTAATTTAAAAGCATAATTATTTCCCAATATTATTTTCTAGTAGTAAGTTTCTTGAAAAAAATTTAGAGAAGAAAAATGAGTCTTGTACAAGCTCACTGTTTTTATTTCAATTGTACAATTAGTTCATAAAGTTCTGTGTCAGCAGATTAACCTAGGAACCCTCTCTGTAAGTGTTGTCTAAAATTGTATTCCTGGTTTTCATTTTTTGTTCTAGCAAAAATTAAAGGATGTTGTGCTCTGGATGTACCACATATGGCAAAAAAAAAAAGTAGAATTACTTGGGTTATGTCTTTAAGGGCAGACTTAGTCACTTCAGAGTAAAGAAACCGTACCTTTGTTCTTTAATCGCTTTCTTAGATAACCACAGTAATCTTGCCTCCTTATTAACTGAAATCCCATAAGCTGCTTATTATCTGAAGCTAATTTGTTTATATTATAGTTTTTAACAATACTAAAAACAGAAATGCTGCCTGTTACACTACAACTAAGCAAAAATACTTAAAAGTATTAAAACTTGTAGTAATGTAAAATAGTTTCCTAAGTTTCCTTGTAACAGATGTCACACTGTTATGTCATCCTCTTCAATAAATACCTCATCAGGTTTTTCAGAGTAGTAAAAAACATTGAAAAGTACATGTGCTAGTAACTTGTTAATCTGTGAGAATGAGTAGCCCCATTAATTGCAAAGATGCTTTTAAATGTAATTCAGTAGCAATCCTGATGTTCAGCACTGTTTCTTTTGCCTTTTTTCTAGACGTTACTGCCAAAGAAGCAGCAAAATTCATGCACCTGTTCAAAATAATGACATTTTCAGCTTTTTTATAAAGGAGAATGCAAAAAAAGCATGAGAAAAGCATAGATGTAATATCAAGATTGCAGTGCAAAAATACTTTTTATTGAACAGTCAGACATCATAATCCTCTGTATATAGTTGCATTAAGGTTCAGTGTCATACATGATTTCTTCATTCATGTGATATGGAACTGCTTTATTTGGTTCTTAGTGAATTTATCTGTACCCAAGGAAGAGGTCTTTTGCAAAGTGCAATGAAGAATATTTGACTCAAGTAATATATCGGACCTAGAATTTGAACATTAGCACTTAACAATTACTGTGATATTCAATTATTTATATCCTAAGGGTATTCTCACTGAGTACAAGTTTAGCTAGTACTGTATTGCATTATGCTAAAGTGGCTTTGTAAAACACTTCCAGACAGACCTAATGTGACAGTGCAGTTTTGTTATGCTTAATTCGATAATCACCATAGCATCTTACATTTTGAAGATTTACTGCTATTAAGAAAAAAAAAAAAGATAGCTTGTCTTGTATATGAGGAATCAAGAGAACAAATTAATTGAATGTGTTCAAAGATACTGATCAATGTCAGTTACGCTGAGCAGATTCAGTCCTCTCAAATTTGACTGTTAAGTAGTATGTCATATGATATTCAAATTACCAGTAAGGTCTAAATATTAACTGGAACCATTCAATTTTGTTTCAGAAATATAAAGAGTGATCGAGTCATGCCAGAGGAAATAGCTTGTTATTATAAACACTATGTTAAAGTAATGGGCCTTCAAAAGAATTTCAGAGATAATGTTTACATAACATCAGTATCCAGGCTTTACCGAGGAAAGGGTGAGGACGACAGAAGTCAACTAACTGAAGGTATTTCAACGCAGCATTTGGAAATGGAAGATGGACAAAAATCACTGATTAAGAGAAATTGGGAAGTCAGAGGATACCAGAGAGCAGCAGATGGCTCTCATGTGCCCTTCTGCCTCTTTGCTGAGAATGTGGCTCTTGCTACAGGAACCTTTGATTCTCCTGGCCGGCTGCAGGTTGAAGGAGAAGATTTTCCTTTTGTGCTTCATTCCATGTCTGACTTTGGAGCTGCTATCAGCAAAGGGAAGTTACGTGGGAAGGCAGATCCTGTGTTAATTGTGGGTGCTGGACTTACAGCAGCTGATGCAGTGTTGTGTGCCTGCAACAACAACATCCCTGTAATCCACGTGTTTCGTAGAAGAGTTACTGATACAAGTTTGATTTTCAAACAGTTACCGAAAAAGCTTTACCCTGAATACCATAAGGTCTATCATATGATGTGTACTCAGTCACATCCTGTGGACTCGCCTCTGCATTCTGCTTACACTAGTTTCCCTGAACACAATGTACTTTCTTTCAAGCCTGAAATGAAGTGTGTTCTTCAGAGTGCCTCTGGACTGAAGAAAATTTTGAAGTTTTCTGTAGCCTTAGTTCTGATAGGTTCTCACCCAAATCTTTTCTTTCTAAAGGACCAAGGATACAGTATAGGTCATCACTCTAATCAGCCCATCACATGCAAGGGGAATCCTATAGAGATTGATCCATACACTTACGAATGCACTAAAGAAGCTAACCTCTTTGCTTTAGGCCCTCTGGTGGGAGACAACTTTGTACGGTTTTTAAAAGGAGGTGCATTGGGCATTGCAAGATGCTTGGCAGTAAGACAGAAAAAGAAACATGAATTGATTGAAAGTGGGGATGGAAGAGGTGATGGGGTACCATAAATAAGGCATGAGAAACTTTCCCATGTAGGATTACAGATGTAGTCTAACAGAACACTCACTGACAGCAAAAGTTGATAGCAGTCACATTTCTGTTGTATACAAGTAACCTGCGCTTGTATTGCTTGGTAAAGGATGCTGATACTGCAATATTTCATCTTTTCAAAATACGAAAAATTGATCTGCTATTACAACTGATCTCAACTGGAGTTGCTTCCAGATAAACAGAAAATGAGACTAACTTACATTGACCTGCCTGTCATCTCTTGCTCAGAGAAAAGAGCAGACTTCCTCTGGGAAAAGCATTGCCTACCAGAGTGGCTTTACATTTTAGTGTCAGATGTGACAAAATAACTTCTGAAAACAGAAAGCTTGCTTAGTACAAAGTGATTCTTGGTCCCCAGGCAAATTTGGAGCCTTCTGCTCAAAACAAGGATTTTATTTATTTGCCATAGTAACACAGCAATACTCGGAATGAGCACTTAGTAAAATGGTTTTACTGTAAGGAGGATTTCTGTAAGCAAGAAGTATTGCTCAACAGTTACAAATTATCCTATTTGATAATTGGAATAAAAGAATAAGCATTCCCTTTTAAATCTTTAATACACAGTTTGGTACAATCCGTTAATGTTTTTTCACACTATGCCTAGAGTTGGGTGAGGGCAGAAAGATTAACATGAGATGTTCCCCTACAGTGATATGTACATTCTGAGAATACTCATTAACATAAACAATAAAGTACTGATGTAAGTGCTCTTAATTACAGTGTCAATATAATGAATATCTATCTACTGAAAAATTAAGTACATGAGAAAACTGAAGGGTTTTTTTTAGTCCAGGAAGACTGAGTGGGATCTCTTGACTGATGAAGGTGGGTGATAGATATTCTCATCTCCCATTTGACCAAATATTGGTTGTTTCTTTTTCTAGAGCAGCACATAACACTGAAATTATTCTAGCCTTTAGTTTTTGAAACTTGTAAAAGGCTTATATCTCACAGCCAGCTAAAAAGTAAATAAACTAAACTCAAAGCAAACATGCCATAGTTCCTGTAAATCTCAAAGCTTGTTATGGAAGACAAAGAACTTGTCTTAACTTGTACCTACCTCTAAATTGAAGTTTCATCTTTCTGGTCTGTAACATAAGACCTAAATTTCATTTGATGCTCTTTAGAGTTTACCTAAACACACTCTTGGGTTATTCACTGTAGTGAGGTAAGCAGCAGCTAGTTAGAAAACTTCAGTTACCTTCCAGAACTCTCAATAGACCAAGTGCTTGATTTTGATTGATTTATTACCAAATGTTTTAAGTCAGGTCCATGGTGATGGAATAGATGTTATTTAATTTTTTTTGTTTGGATGGTTTTCGTGTTGAAGAACATAATGTTAGTTTAAGGTACTGTATTTGCATGATTAAAATCTCCATATTGGAACTTTAACAGATTTTAAAAATGGAAATTAGGCTTAGACTTTCTGAAACTGCTAGTGTTTGTTAGTTTCCCAGCTGTCTAACTTTCCTAAGTTGTAGATACCTATATGCAACAAATGCCTGTTTTCTGTGCCTACTGAATTACAGGGGCTTCTGTGGCTACTGCAGGCCTTTATACATCTGAATAAGTTACTCAGGCTTTGGACAGAAGTTGAAAAGGTAAAGTATGCAAGGATTAGGAGTGACAGTGTTTTCAATGGAAGTCCAAAGTAATTATGAAATTTACGCTATTAATAAGAAATTTTAGTTTAGAGCCAACTTAATTGCATAAAAATAAAACACAAATGAGGTAAATTTCTGCATTGCCTTCATGGTTGGATTTAACCGTGCTTTGTCACAATACTAGTTAAGATACTTTTTTATGCTTGTATCTGAGCTGGTTTTAATTGTGCAAAATTATAGGCATATTTTCTTCATAATTGAACTGAGATTCTGTGATTTGCCTTCTTTGGCAGAAACTGTGTATATATAGATCTGTCTTAAACCTGTGTTATCTAATAATTTTAACTGAGAAACAGTGTTAAAAGTGCTAAGCACTTGATAATAGAATTTTATTGCAGTTAATATATTGGAAATACATCTGCACTGTGATTAATTCAATTTAAGTGTCGAAATACAACATACCGTGGCATGTTACTGCATTTTCATTTGTCATGTGAAACATTTAAAATGCCTACAAAACAAAGTAAACAATTTTCTTAAACAGCTATTTTGCAAAAAAGGGGAGAAAAGCTTCAAACAGCCAAGTCTTTAACCTCAGCCGCTGCAGCTACTTGCAGGTTGTGCTGTAGTGACAAATTCTGAACAGACATTTTTGTCCTATTATTACACAGCTTTCACGGCAGTATTACAGCACCTTGAGGTTTAACTTTTTTTTTTTTTTTAATGTTGTCAATCTTGCCAATATGTTCGGGATAAAAAAATCACATGTGAGACCACTTAGTTGGGCAGACAGATTTTCACGGTGGTCATATTTATCAAGACAGTATTAAACCACTTTTTTCAACCAAAGCTTGAGTAAAAAAGCAGCCTGTTTGTTCTAGGAATTGTGAGTTTCCAAGTTTTAGCAGTACTTTCTCACTTGGATTTCTGATTTAGAGAGACATTTCTGTTTCTCTCCTCTTCGTAATTTTGAGGGAATTAAGAGATGCAAAAAGGGAGGTTTTCCCTTAGGATAGCTTTATCTAAAGCATTATATCATAATTACTGCATTTATTTTTTATTAGATGTTGGCACTGAATGATTGTCTTTTGGGGAAATACTTTTTTTTTTTTTCTGAGATTTGCAAAAAAAACCAACAGCATCCCCCCCCATATTTTAATTTCCTGTATGTTGTAATAGTTCCCAGAAGGGAGGCTGTTTGCTTTCACCTCTTCTTTCTGTGAGAAAGATCAGCTTTTAAACATCGTGGATTGAAAAAGGGTGCTTACTACTTAAGCTTTATTACTAAATTACAACCAGGAAGAATCTAATTTTTAGCTAAAGGAATTTAATTGGGATTCATGGAATTCATAAATGCATGTTAACCCATACTGTGTATTTTCTAACAGGCTCATGGGAAAATGTCACATTTGGGATTGGTTCTTAATGCTGAATGTGTCTCCTAGCTAAAATTTGGCTCAGATAATTTTATGTAGTATCCAGCTATGTTGGACTGGGACTAAGATCTGTCATAGGAGATTCAAGAAAGATACTGAGGTGCTCTAGCAGGTTCAGAGGAGATCAACAAGGCTGGTGAAGGGACTAGAGGGAAAGTCTTAGGAGGAGAGACTGAGGGAACTGGGGTTGTTTAGCCTGAAGAAGATGAGATTCAGGGGGGACCTTATGACTCTCTCCAACTACCTGAAGGGAGGCTGTAGTCAGTGGGGGTTGTGTTCTCCTCTCAGGCAACTAGTGACAGGATGAGAGGGCGGGGCCTGAAGCTGTGCCAGGGGAGGTTTAGGTTGGATGTCAGGAAACACTTCCTCACAGAGAGGTGGATCAGACATTGGAATAGACTGCGCACAGAAGTGGTGGAGCTACCTGTAGGTGTTTAAGAAGAGACTGGGAGAGAAAAGACCAGGGAGAAAGACCAGGGAGACCTTATATAGCAGCTTTCTAGTACTTGGAAGGGGGCCTACAGGAAGGCTGGGGAGGCGCTTTTCATCAGAGAAGATAGTGATAGGACAAGGGGTAATGGTTTTAAGCTGAGAGAGGGGAGATTTAGATTAGGTATCAGGAAGAAATTCTTCACTATAAAGGTGGTAAGGTAGTGGAATGGGTTGCCCAGGGAAGTTGTTGATGCCCCATCGCTGGAGGTTTTTAAGGCCAGGTTGGATGAGGTTTTGTGCAACCTGGTATAGTGGTAGGGATCCCTGCTCATGGCAGGGGGGTTGGAGCTTGATAGTCTTTGAGGTCCCTTCCAACCTTAATGATTCTATGATTCTATGAAAGGCTGGATGTGACACTTAGCTACACAGTCTAGCTGATGTTGTGGTGTCAGGTCATAGGTTGGACTTGATCTCAGAGGCCTTTTCTAGCCTCAGTAATTCTGTGATTCTGTGATTTTCCTAATAATCTGGATTTGCCAGTGAATGTATGGAAAGAGTATAGGTCTCAGAAACAGCACCTAGACATTGAGTAAGGGACACCAAAGTGCATTGCACAGTAGTAGGTCCCTGGTCCTCAGGATCAGGGAATTGTTGGGGTACCCTGTATTTTCCTTCTGGCCTGGAGAATGTAGGTACCTTTTTTAATTACTAATTTCACAGAGTGTAGTTGCATGATGAAAAATACTAATTTTGTGGAGGGTGGTGGCTGTAGCTTCTTTCTCTCACTGCTCAAAAACTGAAAAGGCGTGAGTGAGAAATCCGTAGTACTTGTTCAAAGCTGGAGGAAATTATACTAAGATCCAGGCTTTGAGGCAGGCCTGACCTGCACAGCCAGCTGAGGGGAAGAAAAGGAATTTACCTCATCAGAGCCTGTTTTTAGGCCAACTGCTCATGAGAGAAACAAGGGTGTAAAATCAGCAAACTTCTTGTTAATCCTCACTGATAACAAGTGACCAGTGAGAAATGATGGGAGGAAAGCAGCAAAGGATCTGAGCAGACCGAACTGCAAACCTACAGGTGCTGAACTGCATCCACACAGTGTTGATAAGCTGGTGGTCTCCCATCCTCTTCTGTCAAGATCTGCATACTGTAACTTCAGGTGCTGTGGTGGAGCTGTTAGTCTAATGTGTATTTTTAACTGGCTATTAACTGAAGTTACACTGAAGTGCAACACATACATATGAACTAGAAGCACTTGTATTTGTTTCAGAAGCTGTAAGACTGCATCAGTAAGGTCCTGTGCCAAGAGATGAGATTTGGTTGCTCTGGTACCGTTATTTTCTTCTTCTGAGAAAACAAGCAGGTATTTTAACATAAGAGCAGTGCTAGGTCCCAAACATTTCTCAACAGCAAGAGGTAGCCAGTATCTGCCCTAATGGCAGCTGATTATTCCATTTTATTACAATCCATATAGTAATGATTTCATTTTGAGTAAGTTATGGAACAAAAGTGATAAAAAGGCTTAAACTGTTACATATTTAGATGTATTTTTTTTTAACCTTACAGTAGCAATGTTCTGTCGTCATTTTGGATTATTTTTTAATGTGAGAGCAAGTTGGGGAGCACAGTTCCTCAACTGATATGAGAGATTTTTGGACATTTACTCCCCCCTTTTCTCCTTGCCCAGCCTGAAACAGAAATAACCATAATATCTGATTCT